AAATCATACCTACCCGCTGGGTATTCTGTTATTTACAACTCATGATACTCATACATTATGCTTGCTTTATCAAAGAGGAAAGGAGTTCAATATACTCCTTTGATTAAACATTTGATCAGATGGGAGAAAGCAAAGACATTGGGTGGCCAAGTAACAAATAAACCTATATGCAGGGCTATTTTGGGGCAGGAACACACAGGAACGGAGTTCCGGCTGGCTCCCAAGTTTGCCACGCCCAGCAGGAACTTATTAGCATAATAGGCCACACCCAACAGCAGAAACTCATTCAGATTGGCTACATTAGGGGTGTGTGGCCTAACATGCAAAGGAGTTCCTGCTACAAAAAAAGCCCTGGGTTTTGGCAACAAGCAAGGTAAGCAGAATAAGAAGCAAAAGGTGGGTGTGGCTGGATGACCACACTTCTGGTAACATGGAGGTGTGGCCTAATATGCAAATGAGCTGTGCTGTCAGGGGTATGGCCTAATATGCTAATGGATTCCTGCTGTTGGGTATGGCCTATTATGCTAATGTAATGATTTCCTGCTGGGCTTTTTCTACAAAAAGAGCCCTGCCTATATGTATGAAATATAGAAATATGGCCCTGACCTGCCTAGCCCAGGCTAGCCTGATCTTGTCAGATCTCCGAAGCTAAGCATCTCATCAGTATTTGGATGAGAGACCACCAAGGAATACCAGGGTTGCTGGACAGAGGCAGACAATGGCAAACCACCTCTGAATGTCTCTTGCCTTGAAACCCCCATGAGGGGTTGCCCTAAGTCAGCTACAACTTGATGGCAAAAAAGTAGAAACACATTCTGCATAGAAAGAAATACTGTGACCATTGGTAGCAGCTCCAGTAGTACTTTTTAATATCCTTGAACAACAGTGCATAAGTACTAGAACCAACTATTACCATAAACTACAAGGATGCATTTATACTATCGGGGAGAAGTAATACTCAAACTTTTTGAAGGGGGAATCTACATCTAAACTTGTTCTGCTTTTTGAGACCTACTTGCCAAGCAACTCCACACTAGTTTCCCCTTGCAAGAGTCTTACATCAGTTAACACTGATTGGTGTTTATATTTTCATGTTTAATGTTTAGAAATATATAGCATTACTGAGCAACAGCTTGTATTTCCTGGCTCAAGTTTGCCACTGAGATTCCCAGAATGGAAACATGGATGTGGAACTATCTTTGTGATTTACCAGTAACATCCACTGATTATCAAACTACCTTTTCAACAGCCTGATAAGGTAGCCCCAACCAACCAGGGTAGCCAGACAAGTTATCTGAATGATTACAGGGCTCTTTTTGTAGAAAAAGCCCAGCAGGAACTCATTAGCATAATAGGCCACACCCAACAGCAGGAACTCAGTAGCATATTGGGCCACACCCCTGACAGCACAGCTCAGTAGCACATTAGGCCGCACCCACATGTTACCAGAAGTGTGGTTATCCAGCCACACCCACCTTTTGCTTGTTATTCTGTTTACCTTGTTTGTTGTCAAAACCCAGGGCCTTTTTTTATAGCAGGAACTTATTTGCATGTTAGGCCACACACTCCTAATGTAGCCAGTCCTAATGAGTTTCTGCTGTTGGGTGTGGCCTATTATGCTAACGAGTTACTGCTGGGCGTGGCCAACTTGGAAGCCAGCCGGAACTCCGTTCCTGTGCGTTCCTATCCAAAAATAGCCCTGGATTTCTCCATGCAGCCGAAGGGTAAGTGAGAGAAGCTGACACAGCTGAGCTAGAATTTCCCTTCCCTGGAAGATGTAACATTGTGCCCCAAAATTAGTACAATTCATCATCATAGTTTGCAAAGACAAATTTTGTAGTTATGCACTGAAGGGATCTTGTGCTGGTTAGTTGCAAAATCACCTGCAACTTTCACAATACCACATATATTTTTTCTGACAAAGTGAGTTATTTGCACAAGCCCCATGAGCTCTGGTTTCTGAACTGATTATATCGGCTTGCCCATGCATGCTCAAGATCTCCTTCCCACTCTCATGTTCTGATATCAAGAAAAGAAAATACAAGCCTCGTTGTCAAAGCACCCATCTATAGATTGGCTGACTTACTTCATTTATACGTACCTTTCCCCAGAGGTCATTTCGGGGGGGGATCGCGGGGGATCGCAGTTCCCCCGGGTGAGGTACGGGGAGCGGGGCACATGATGAAGCCCCGCCCCCTGCTTCCAGCTGCCCCACTTCCGGCCCTCATTTTTCCAGGAGGAGGCAGGAGAAGAGGGAGGGTAAGTTCCTTCCTCCCTGCCTCTCCCTACCCCTGCCTGCCTGGGGCCAGGGA